ACAGATGCGCCGGGAGGGCACCAAAAATGGTTTTTTTCAACCTTACCTTTTGCTGAGCATTGTGCTTTCCGGAGCGTTATGGTATCATCTGAATATTCAGCAACAATGTGGTAGAAAAAACGTCGCGCTCTCATGGGCCAACGCCAGCACTCGTGGGCAAACGTTATGCGTCACCAGTGCCCTTGAACCTTCAGACCAATGACGGAAGTGCATAATGATAACATTGCGACGAAAATGTCCGTCTTAAGTAGCTTATTGAACTCGTCTCTATGGAACGGCCCTAATACTAATAATTCTCTGTAGTCCACAGTGATCGTATGGGCGGAGACGGCTGTTCACCTTTGTTTTCGGCCATGCGACGGCCGTTTTCTTGGCCATCTTTCGAGGAGCGCCGATAATGAGGACAGCATCAATGTGATCCCTGCTTCGTGCACACTGCCAGAGTGGACTGTGTCCTCGAATGCACACTGCATACACTCCTTATCCCTGAGACGGGGTAGGCGTGGCATTGAACGTGGCATAGGATGGGTTACTCGTGGGATATTTCATTTGAGACAACTGTCATCTTGTTCTCTGTTGACAGAGACACGACCACAAATGTGTCAAAATGAAAATATCTCTCTAGAAGCACAGCCACGCAACGTTTAGTTGAAGTACGCAGCCACGCCTACCTCATCTCAGGAATTTCGAGTGTAGTTAGCCAAACCTAGCAACACCGCGCTTATGTACGTTATAAATGTGAAGAACCGGCCAGTGTGAAGAACCGTCCAGCCAGTCCAGGCCAGACTCGTTTTGAAAAAAAGTGCCAATCCATGTGGACCAAAGGGTACGTATCGACCTGAGGAGTCTGTGATCTTGCGCGACTCGTACTCACAGGCATTTTTTTAATTGGTTGATTCATTGTTCCAAAGCGCAGATTATCGTCGTTGCCAAAGAACCGGGACGGGCTTTGAGTCTAAGTAGACCCTCCCACAAGATGATTCAAGGCAGTGAGAAGAATACAGGAGATCGAAAAAAGGGCAAAAAGTAACTGACTGTTCAGACGCTATTCGTCTATTTTTCAAATACAAATATACAACACGACTTCAATCAAACGTGGAAGGATTCTCTTATGCTTCCGTGTGCTGCTGGACACCTTGACGCATAGAATTCGAAAGGAAGGTTGGCTGTGAAATACCTCTATGGGCAGGCTTACAAGCGCGCTGTTGGGAAGGTTCTGGTTCGATTCACTGTTTACAGAACAGCACCGTTGTCGTAATATCCATGTTCTGGACTGCTAAGAAGCCAACTCACACCAGATAATCAGGAACATTAATGAAGCTGATAAACTGTGGGTATTAGAAATGTGGTTTCTTAGATTAACTTGAAGGGCAAATACGCGTTAACCAACTTACGGCTACCTGCCATTTTTTCAGTTGTCGCGCTCACATAGAACGGACTATGAAGTTTCAGTTACACACTGAAGGTCAGATACGTGCATGACCTGGGATGTCGCGATGATATGATGACAACTTGAACGAGACTGTCACACATCAGCCATTTGATAACGGTGAAGATGGAACTTTTCGAACTTTCTTCCATTCGGCTGTCAATTCGATTTCTCATCTTCCAACTGAATCTCGTTACGCTTTCATAATAGGTAATTGCTTGATTTTGGGACTTTGCGTGGATGCCGGGAGGCTTACCCCCTTTCAGAAGGTTCTACAAGCATTTTTGGGTACTCCGGTTCCTTGTGCTACGCTGTGAAGTGAAAATTATTGCACGGCCAGGGCTGATCCGGACGTCGTTACCGCCAAGGCTGAAATGAGCCCTTTACTTGGACAGACACCACTGTGGACGAAACTCCGAGACAAAAGAAGTTAGGGAGATTTTACCAGTGCTGATTCAGCTTATTTCATCTCCCATAAGTAACGTCTAGTCAGCGACGGTGCAAAATTACTGTTCTGCCAGAGGAGAAGTTACTGCTCGATGGGTTGGGAAGGGAAAGGGATCGAACAGAAGTTTTCCAACGGGTTCTTGTAGCCTGCCCCTACCAGAAGTAGCAGCAAGCACCAAAAATTCTCGAAACGCTGGGTAGGTGAGGGGGAGCGGGGTTGAACGTGTCAGAAGAGGAAACTGAAGTAGGAAGAGTGGTTGCAGGACGTGTCGCGACCCCACTATATGTACATTTTGGGTTGCAATGCTCTTCTGAAAGGACCTTCTAGCCCTTGTAAGTTACGGGACCACACCACATTCAAATGCTAGTACGATCTCAAAGTGAAGTCAGATTTGTGGCTTATTGTTAGCCTATAATTGTCCATGCTGTTCCCGCTCACGAAATTCTCAGAAAGTAAGAAACCTTGAATACTCTTCAATTTCAGGCAAGAACGTAACTATCTGTTGGTAGAGGCTATCGAAGGAGTTTTCTCTACGAATGCCGCTGAACAGTATTGGTAGAAGCTTGCAGCAGCTAAAATAGGCTGCGCCTTGGAGGAGTTCAAGAGCTCAGTAGGATGAATTCATATTTTCGCCTGTATAGATTTACATTTCTATCATACTGGAGTAAGTTACCGATCAGGATTGAAACACACCTTGATCACCCTTGCCCTGAACTCGTATAGCACGATTCGGAAGAAACGTCAAATGCACGGCGCACCTCAGAGTGACCTATAGCTCGACTTATTTTGATCAATCGACTGCTTCAGCCAATGATCAGTCTCCTCGTTAGGTCCTATTTAGCATCCGCAATTCAACAGTTCATTTCGAGTTCTTTCACAGGGTTCCGGTGTGTAACATTTCTCAAAACATGACGATCGGTTATTTTTGGTCTTTGCCTGCAAATTATAGACAGCATGCTCTAGACTTTGATCAGTCTGGCTATTGTAACCCAAAAGTGCGCCTCTTTGGCAAACAACACCGGAAAATCACCAAAAACTGCATGAATCACGTGTGCCTGCAGAAAATCAGAGATGTTCAACTAACGAGTCTTTTCCTATTCACATGATAGGCTCATGGCCTCGGCGTGCGCTCCCGAATGTCTCTCGGGCGCTGCAGGGTGTTCTTCAGGGTCGTAAGTAGGGAACATCATGGGGACGTGGGAAAATCTTCCTCAGTGACGACCCGCCTCGCTCAAACAAAAAAACGTGTTTAACCAGCGCCGTGATGTCTGGGAACTTAACATTGGTCAAAGGCTTGCTTGTATTTGGCCATTGTCGCTGAGAGCCTGCCTGCTCCATCCCCAGGCGACACAAAAGCTATCCCCGTGGAACCAATGGCGCTGAGGTACAGCTGGCTCCTTCCTGGTGCCCCATGGCAAAATCACTACATCTTCGTCCGCAAAGCAGCGTCATACACCTGCTAAGGGTAGAGACGGGCCGTGATCGAGTAGCACTGACCAGAAAACACATTCTGCGCTGGGGATTTTTAGGGGGCGCCACCATATAATTTCGTTCCATCAGGCGCGACCGGCCCCGCATCCCAATCCTATACCTACTATCTGCAATTTTTTACTTTTCCAACTTCCCTTCACCGAAGTTCCCGCAAAAATTTTCTCAGTTTTCCCATAAAATTTGCCGGTCGATGCGCGAGGGGCGGGGGGGGGGGCTGGGCTAGGGGAAATAGTTCTCACTAGTTCAACTATCGGAGATAGTGGTTGCATTGTGGTTCGGAAACGCACTCAACTAGGTGAGGGAGGGAAAGTTTTCCCAGCGCGGCAAACTCCCCTCAGACAAGTACCTCAGCCACCTCCTTGCAGCGACACCACATACGACCCTCCCCGCAGAGGATTCCCCAACGCAAGACGTACCAAGCGCGTGACTCAAATTCTGCACAGAGCAAGCATGTCAACTACTGAATCACGGCACGTCCTACTTTATGGAATACCTAGGGCAGGGGGGGGGGGATGGGGTGGTCATGCATTTGTTCGCTGGTGGTAGGGAAAGGATTATTAGGTTTTGAGAATATATTTATATTTTTTCGGTACTTACCGTACTATAACCGTATATGATATTTTACCGTTTCACGGGCGCTATTCACATCACTGGAAGAATTCCCATGAATGTATGGGGGAGGCGGGGAGGAGAGGGGGGAGTGAGGTGTATGGGGGGAGCGTGATAGGGTCATCAAATAGGGAGGGGGTCGTATTTGCTTCGAGAGAAATTTGCCGCTTTGCGAAAAAAATTTTTTGTTGCCTTCTCGCGGTTTTTCTCGTCTCACTAGTGATACAGCCCTCCCTTTGATTGCTGACATCTCAGCAGAATTTTGCGAAAATTTGGGAAATTTTTAGAAAATTTCGCTGAAGGTGGTAGGAAGTTTGGAAAAGTTGGCGAGATAGTAGGTAGGATGGGGAAGGGAAGGGTCGTGACAGTGGCAGAGAATGAGATTAAGGTGGGGGGGGTGGTATTTCTATAAATTTTCCTCTGCGACAGGACCTGCCCTATACAAAATCATCCCCCTGTTAAAGTCGAAAGCGATAGCTACCGAGAAAGGATTCCCTGACGGGAGCGCTTCCGATCATTTATCATTTTCCCAAGCCAAGAACAACAGTTCGTTCTTTAGTCAACCTTATTCGTCATCGAATTCGACTAATTAGCACTACGGCAACATCTCATAGCTGTGTACGCGGGGGCGCCCGTGATAGACCGACGGGGGGTTGACGCCGTCCAGGCTCCGCCCACCGCCGATTACGGTCGGTGGTACAAAAGCCCTTTCGCCCCACTATGTTCTACAATACAAACGATCTACACGTCCAGGCATCAGACGTCTTGTCTAGGCATCTGACAGCCTTCGACTTGCCATTTCTTAGAGTTATCCTTGTTTCCGTCAGAACGCATGTTTGCTGACGTTTTCCATCAAATTTTGATTGGAGCGCAAATTTAACCATGGAGCGCGAAATCTTTTGTTCTCGGTGGTTTCTTTTTTATGAATGAGTGATTCTCAGGCAACTTTGTGACCGTCGAACCCTTTAAAGGTTCTCTATAGGTGCTACATATGGCAGACTATATTCAGCGTTATTTTCAGGGATGTTTGAAGCATTCACGCACGGTTTTTCATTACTCAATGTCCTCTCATTAGCCGCGTTCTTCACAACTGTTGCATTGTTCTTCTGTGGAATGTGAGTTACCAAACAGTCTCTTGCTTTCTATTTATTTACCTCTTACTCTATTGGAGATGAATTCAGTAATTTTCAGTCCAATTTGTCGACAAATATGGAAACGACGAGACACGAAGGAGATTTCGGGAGCGCCATTTTTGATGGGAGTTCTTGGGTGAGTCACAATGCCACAAAGAAAAACTGTTTTCGTAGTCGTAGCTCAACTCGAGCCCGGAATTGGCCGCGATAGTCTCAGCAGTGCTCCGTAACATGTGCGCGAGAGCGTGTCCTCTTGTTGTGAGATCACATTTGCGCTAAATATAGCCCAATGACAGACACACTCGATCACATATCTCCTTTGTATGTAGTAAACATTGCATTGCGGTCACGGAACTGCTGTATTACTGTAACGAGAAAGTCGAGGATATGTATGCTTTGAAAGGATGCGAACTTACGGGTGTCCAGACCGCAGACTTCGGCCCACACCTGTAATATCCTTGCCTAAAAGGGAAATCTTCTGATGGATGGATGTATCCTGTAGCTCTATAGGAGGGTTGAGAAAGCCCGTGACTCGTGCTCTGCCATTACTGAGAGATGCTAGGTGATAGACGTTAGGCATTATACCCAGATACTAGAAGCCCTGGGAAACTGAGAGTTCCAAGCTGCTGTTGAATTTCTCCCAAGTTTTGGGCTAAAGAGGGAAGCGCTAAAACTAGCCACTGCCGTGGAACTACTAGCGACGATAGAAAAGTCGACCGGTCAAAGGCATTTCCTCATCTGACTGGTGAAGTTGTGGTTGCAACACACTGAGTGGTCTTGGACGAATGTCCCGTGAGCTCGGCCTAAATCTGGACCAAATTTCCATAATGAAACATGACATGAGCGGGAACTGTGCTCAGAAAAACTGCTGTGGACTACCCCTACCTCTCCTCCGGGCCTGAACTTCTCTACGTCTTGTTCAAAGATCTCAGAACGCTTAAAAATCTTTTTCACGTCAGTAGCGGATACGCTCGGAATTCCTGAGCTTTCTGATCGGGAGTTCCCGGCCTGCCTTTATGTTGGAAACTTTGTGAAACTACTAGGCTCTCTGTGCGCGCTTGAGGATCTCTACGGTAGGGTTGGCAGGCGGGAAAGCGCATTCACGCTAGATAAGGGTGGTCGTGTCCGGGTTATGGAGAGGATGTGCCAAAGCGGGGATCAGGGAAGCATAGGGGATCGAGTAGCGTTTCTACCCTTTTCAGGCGCTACTTGTTATCCTTATCGGGCCAAGGGACCACAAGTCTTCTATGGTGAGGGAGCGGTGAGAGTCACAATGAGGATCCCCTAAGCGGTCACCTTTGCTGAGAATATTCGGTCGCGCGGCTTAGTTGAAGGGGACGCGGATTGTGGGTCCCTCTTATACTGTTCTGGAAAGTCCTGTGAAGCTGCGAAATAAAATCGCCCAAATAGTCCACTTTGATCACGAAGGTGACAAGGTAGCCTGCATAGGCTTTGCTAAAACATCATTTAGCCCGCCACCGAAGCCAAAACTGCGCAAATATTCTTTCTGCATAAAATTGACATTCACATAATCCTTATCGGAAAGCCCTGATCTATCCTTCAGTGGTTGTGCTGATGACATACGGCTATTTGAAGAAAGACCGAAACGCGTGCTGGTTGATCACTATCATGTCAATGCATCTCTATTCATTGTAACTGGCATCTCTATTGCTGATGAGTAAGACAAAGTAAGTGTACAACATCAACCAAAAACCAGTTTTCCCATCTGGGCACGTTCGAAAACAAACACAAAAATGCAAAAGTACGTCTAGGTGTGAAAGAGGGTCTCTTCTGCCTATCACACCAGGGGCAACAGAGTGCTCGATCTAGTTCTCTGGCCGACGGCTGACGCTTTGCTTATGTCGTCGCCAGGGTTTTTCATTACAACCATTGTTCAGATGGTCGACGGGCTATTTAGCCCCGTTCACAACATGTGTAGGGTACAGGGTACAGCATGGGGATGTGCGAAATGTCGGTGTGAGTACGACCCCCCCCCCTTCGAGTAGGGTCCAGGCACGACCCCCCTCCCAACGGCAGCAGCTCTTCTTACGCGCCGACAACGAACAATAGGAGGCATATAGTCAGCGAAAATGTTGTTTCAGCGGGAGGACAATAACTATGCAACGTATATCCCACGGGCGTACAGAATGCATATAGTGCATATATACGACCCCCCCCCATGGGATTTGACACAACGATGCTGTACCCTGGTAGGGTAGTTGTATTAGTTCCATCACTCCCTGGCCTAAAACTGAGTAGCGTTTTCAGCTATGGATTACATCAAAGTCGGAAATTGTCGTTGGGGCTTTTTACTGCACGACGCTGATTTTGATGGTGAAATTCTTCGGTATGAAAGTATTCCACCCACTTGGAATCATCTGCATGACACTGAACATCGCCGACTTCGCAGCTCCATTAGCTGGACTGGTAAGTTTTTCTTTAATCCACACTGAAAACTGAAGAAAAATATGGAGCTATCTAGCTATTTGACCAAATCAAACTGCTTAGAGTGAAGAAAGCCCCTAGTGCCTAGTGGTTTCTTCGGCGCAAATGGCGCAAGCGAACGGTTAAAGGGCAATGTTTGGGTCATCGAAGGGTCCAATCCCCTCCCTAGTACACTATGGAAAAAGGTTGTCGCGGAACATAGAGCTTCACTCATGCAAGCTGTGTCCTTGTGGTACTCTTCTTTCGGGTCCGGTTAGGTCCACTTTTGTAGAGCTCATAGTATGGCTTGACCCTGAATGAAGGAGCCTGTCCCATGGTCTGAACCACCCGTGTGGGGCTTGAGCTATTACATTACCCAAACATCAGTCAAATGAACCTCTTGTTGGCAGCCGGAGGGCCTGGCGTGACAGAAGCTTTCAGCTTTTGACTGTCTAACAAAGTCCATATTGCAGGCGGGACGCCCTCCAGTGCGCAGCGGAAGGCCCTGTCCTAGGTTAACCGGAGGGGGGGGGCTAGGGTTGGAAATCTCGAACCGCCTTGGTGAGGGGTCTTACTTCTAGTTCTGCACTTACAAGTAAAGACGTGGCGTTTCTGAGAAAACGAAGGTTTCCCCGCTCCTGTTATGGGTGGATTGAGACTTTTTTCGGGAAAACAGAGGTGAAAGGAGGTAGTGAGGCAGGTAAAATTTCACCCTTCTGAGGTATGGGCAGGTAAATCACGCCTTCGGGGTTATGAGGCAGGTAAAAGTTCACCCTCTTGGGTTTGAACAGTACATTTTAAAGAGGAGTTGAAGGAGGGAGGTTCTAAGCGAGTACGTGCGGTTTTGGCTGGAGTTAGCTTATATTCTAGTCCGATTTGGCCTCCTTACCAGTAGCCCTTGCCGATCTCTCCATCTTTCTCTCTCCTCAAAGGGACTTAGTTTCGACGGCTCTTACCAGCTCGGCTTGGCTTGACAAGTGATCACAAAAGGGAGCTTGACAAGTGTTCAATGAAGGGAGCTCCTTACAAGACCCTAATGGACTCATTTTACAGCGAGTGGTAATTCGTCGTGGAGCTACCTCAACTCTACCGCTACCTCTGTGTATCGCCAACTTTATGGTCTCCACTGAATGGTTCTTATACGGAGTTCTTAAACGAGACGTCTACCTCATCGTAAGTCCTTCACGATCCTTTCCCTCGATCTATCCTGTCCAAGGATTCCTAACCCGACTCTTTCAGACGCCAAACGGTATCGGATCTCTTTTGGCTCTTGGTCAGCTTTTCCTGTTCGTTATATTGCCACGTAAACCCGGACAACGATCTCTACTTTCACGTGCTTTCGGTTGCTGTGGACCTAGTGAGAAGGAGACAGACTTGGAGGCACCAACAAAAGGTTCGTTCCTAGTCCAACACCCACACATCCGACGAACATCATCATGACCGCATAAAGTGGGTCCGATCACGAAAACGGGATATGATATCATTGCGCAGCGCGCGATGTTTTCGACAAACATCCGCGTTTTTCGGACACACGTCATCGTGATGGATCTCGCTTTTCTCCACACTTCGCCCAGATATTCTTATCACTATCCAATGATAGCTATGAATTTTTCAGAAATTATTCCCCAAGCCGAAACCGACGACTCCGAAGACTCCTCAACCCTCACACGAGCTCGTCGTTGGTCGAAGAAGATGATCGCCAATGTGAATACTGTAGCTGAGGAGATTGAGCACGTCATCGGGAAAGCATCCATTCATCATCAAGACCAGTAAGTTGCAATCTTTGATTAACCAGCTCGCTTCTTCTGGAGCAGTAGTGACAGCGATGTGGGAAGCCAGGGTCTGTAAGCGACTTGCCTAAGAATCCTGCGAAAATTGCGTTACCGTTGCCTCAGAGGGCAAAGGGAAAGGAATCCTTCTCTCCCAAGCCGACCTCGAATGAGCCATGTTCACAAGTGCTTTTCCAAAAGCTCTCATTCTAAGGGAGACATTGTAGCTAATTTGGAGCAGTACTGACAGCTTCGGAAAAGGAATGGGAGGGAAGAAGTCCAATTCAGCTCGCTGATTCAATACTATCCCTCTTAAGGGCGCTTCCGGAGGGTCCGTCCTTGGTTATGTAGCCACTAGCCTACTGACCACCTGCGAAGACGCTCTTTTGGCTCTAAGCGAAACCAGCGCCCCCGCAGTCCTAGTTCCTAGAATGTCTAAAGCAGTGAAAAACACCTCCGAGGAGTTCATTGACGAGGGGTGGGGGGATAGGAGGGGCATATCGAGGCTCTGAGCGAAACCAGTGCCCCCGCAGTCCTAGTTCCTAGAATGTCTAAAGCAGTGAAAAACACCTCCGAGGAGTTCTTGACGAGGGTTGGGGCTCTAAAAGTAACCAATGACCCCGCAGCCTAGTTCCTAGAGTGTCTAAAGCAGTGAAAAACACTTCCGGAATTCTTGAGGAGGGGAGGAGGGGCATATCAAGTGTGCTGCCTGTTGACCTGCTGAGAAGGGGTCAATCCCCCCCTCTCCACACCCTCCTCTTCCTTCCTGACGAGTCTCTCAGGGGCAATGAAGTAGAGCTAGAAAGGAAGGTGGTGTTCCGGGTTGATGAGGGCCATAAGGGAGGAAGTACAGGGAGAGAGATAGAATCACCAATTTTCTCAGCCATGACGTGCGCTTGTCGCTTGAAAGCACATTCCGCTCTCGGAGCCAACACTAAAACTGCGCTCTCCCCATTGGACGAGAGCAGAAGTCCACCAATGACGAATGCGTAATGGTACAAGTGATCTTGCCCTTCCATCACCGCGGAACGAACTTTGATTACCCTCCTTCCTGTCAAGCAGACAGTAACTACCCTTCCTTGCTGTCCAAGCGACGTCGGTATTGGAATCACGCTGTTGAGACATTCATGAACGCTGTTTCTACTGGTCTACTATTACCAAATCCGCAAGTACTCCTGGTTAATGTCCTTGTTCAGTTCCAACTTCATGTACTCCCAAACGATTGATGATGACACGGCGTCAGAGAAGACGATGGATACCGTGGACGGCCAAGCAGCTAAGAACCTCCTACAAGCTCTGAAGAACGGCCAACAAGTGCTGAATGCCGAAGTACTTATGTCGTCCATGAAAATCACGTCAGGCTCTCAGCGTCTCAACCCCGAGGCACGAAAGGCAAAAATTCGCCGAGTCTCAAGCTCACCCGATTTGATTGACGGAGCCATTCCATTGTAATAATTGACTATCTCCTTAAAATGACGTCATCTGGCCCGTTGGCCTAATGTCTTGTTGAAAAAGCGCTTTAATTAGTGTGCCATTATTATGGCCCACCGGTTTGCAGCTTTACTCTCATATTTACACATGTACAGTTGCTAATGCCGGTGTTCCTGTAACGATTACGACGCGTACGGTGTTATTACTCCGTACCAGATATTACCACAGTCTCTACTGTGTATTTGGAGTTTTTCCAAGTGTTTTTTTTATTTGAATGACTTGAAGCTTTTTATGCTTGTTAACAATGACCAAATCGGTCTGCGCATTGCATTCTTAATATTTTTCTAGCTCTTTTTTTAATTGTGTGTGCAATATTGTTCCATAATATCATGCTGAGCGGGTTTTGTTTTTGTGAATAAAGAAATAATTTAAAAATTGTATGCTAATGTCATAGACTAGTAAAGGGTGCCGCTACCACAGAAAAGGTCCATGGATCACGCTCCAATCGAGTTGAGCTCACCACACAACTGGAATCCAGTAGCTGGAAATAACTCCATTTGGGAGCGCAAAAATGGTACAGAGGGAATCGAGGGGCTGCGCGGCACCCAGGCAGGGCACGCCATCGCGTTGTGATCATTTCCTGGAAAATTACGAACCTCTCCTA